AAAAAAAAAATGAATGATGCTGGTATCGATCCCAAGCGGGGCGCGTACCAGTCAAGCGCGTTGCCAATTATGCAACTCGCTCATTATGAAAATATAATTTCATTAGTGGTATATCTTCAATATATTAAATAATCTTTTTCATTTGAAATTCCACAAGATGTGGCTTCCCCCTTCCGCTCGTCCTACAGTCGGCTAAATTTCAGTTAATCAATTAAAAAACAAAAAGCATTCATACCGCAGAAAATAAAATTCACCCGTCGACTCGATGGACATATTGAAGTCACAAATTCAAAAGAAACCCAGATAAAAATTTATCACATTCCGCAAAATTTTATTATTCCTTGCAAAGAAAAAAGAAGCCACGATTTGTTTCACCATTTTATTTATTTTATTTATTTTATTTATGCTTTCGGTTACTCCGCAAGAACTAAAAATGATAGACCTTACATTTTTCAAGAGTTTTCAATATTAATTCAAATTGGAATTTGTAAATCTAAGTTTTTTTTCATGGAATAATTTTCCAACTCAAGATTGTGGAAACTCTCACGTTTTTTTTCGCGAAATTTTCGCACCTGCGATACTCAAATAATATTCAAGTAGGTTTTTGAATTAATTAAAGGATATTAATAATGATTTCGCCGAAGGAACTCACTTCCCAGAAGTAAATTATGATTTAGAATTATTTTTTTCCAGTTTGCGATATTACTTTTAAGATTGTGAACGTGTTGCGTACCGAGAATGCATATTTTTGATAAATCCATAGAATAGGTTTTCTGAGTACCCCATTGGTTGCACACATATTTATAATTTTAGTGCGGAAAAAAATACGGGAAGTAGAAAAACACGTCAACAAATTGTTGACTCGATGGAATTGATAACTCGCTGTATAAAAAGACCAGCAATCCAACAAAAATTCCAGTCTCGTCAATTGGTTCCTGGAAATCTATAATGTGTCGTAGAATTTGGAAAATAGTCTTCATCCTGGTATGTTTAATGATCATTACTATAATTCTCAAATTTAATCAGCATTGACTTCCAAATGCGTCGTTTCTAAATTAAAAGATCACACCTTGAACATATGACAATTTATTTTTCTCCATAAATAGGTGATTGCAGAGTGCATCCTGCAAGTTGTCCAGGGAAATGAGCTGATCAATGTGTGTATCAGGAATGTGCGATTGAACGAGTGTTTTAGCCAGTGCATAACCCGACATGGACAAGAGTTTGCAACTGGTAGGTATTGCTCATTACTTATATTAAATAAATAAACATTACACAAAAAAAAAGACTTCGTTGAACCCTTTACGCGGAAAATTCACGTTTTTATATTTTACCTATGAAACTTACGATGGGATCGACGTGAAAAAATATGACATTTTTGCCACTTGTCATTAATTCAATTATTTAATGACTCACAAAGTTTCAAGCTGGTGCGGATATTTTCCGGCGTTTTTTCCTAAACTTTGAAAAATTATCACAAAGCTGTAAAAAACGTATGGAAATTGTTGCACCGTCACAAAATTTAGTGAGCCATTAAATAATAACAAAACGTAAAAAGTTATGTTTTTTCACGTCGATTCTACTGATAATTTACCAGAAAAATTTAAAAACGTGAATTTTGGTTAAACAGTTGTCGAATATCCTTGAATTAATAAATGTTCACAGGGATTTACATTAATTTATCAATTTTTAAGGTTATCTACCTTATGGGCGAGGAGGTGGAAACCAGTTTGGACCAGACGGTGGAATCGGCAGAATTACTGAGGGAGGAATTAGCGGTATAGGACCTGGGGGTCGAACTGGGCCATGGTCAGG